GGGATTTGGACCCGAGCTGGGGTTGGGATCAGGAGGGGTGGAGGGTGACCGAAGGCGCGGTCGAAAAGGAGGGTCTTGAGACAGGTCTTGAAGGAGGCAAAGTAGGGGGGCAACACAAATGGTGGGACAGAAAGGCTGAAGGCACAACCACCAATGGTGGGGTTTGCTGGGTGGGGTATATGGCGCCTTTGAAAGTCGTGGGTTCAAGCCCCATGGGACAGACCTCACATAGTCTAAGCTTACACTCCACCGCAGTGCTGGGGATGTGCTGCATTGTTGGAGGTGCTATCCTTCAGATGAGACGTTGAACCGAGGACCAGTCTGCCTGTTCAGGGGGATGATAAAGCTCCTGCGACCCTATTCGAAAAGAGGAGTTTTCTTGGTGTCCTGGCCAACAATCCTCCAGTTAAAATGTTTCTTTCTCTTCAACATCAACAACTTGCATTTATATAGCACCCACCACGGAGGGTAACATCTCAGAGCACTTTAAGGCTGTTTGTGGACATTGCTGTGCACAGTGTTCACCTACAGATATATGATCGCTATATGATAATGTCTTGTGAAGCACTTTGGGATGTTTTGGCATGATAAGGCGCCATATCAAATGCAATTATTATTATTCCTCAACACTGTTACCATGTAAGTAACTGCACGGATTTTGTTGAGTCGAGTGGCTATTTCTGTACTGTTTATTCTTTGCATCTCTCTCTGTCTCTCCCTCCCACCCATAAAAATCCTTGTATTTGATATAGCACCTTATCGCGTTGTTGAAACATGTCAAAGCGCTTCACGGAATATATTGATAAGTTAATTGACTGTACATTTTGTGAGTGAACCACGGCAGCCAATTGCACACAGCGATGTCCCACAAACAGTCAAGCTTGAGTGACCAAATTATTTTTTAGGGGAGAGATTATTACTCCCAGAAAGTGATCCACCAATCAACACAACAACCAGGTTCCTACTTACTGCTCGGTAAACAGAGGTGTGTGGAGTAAGAAACTTACCTTAGGTATCGCCCTGCCTGGGAATCGAACCCGGGTCCTCTCGCTTGCGAGGCAAATGTTCTAACCACTGAGCTACCGGACTCCAAAATCGCAATCGGTCTCCATCTGGAGAACTTCTAGTGTAGTGCGTTCCATAGTCTCACTGCCTTCTGCATGCGTTAAGAAATATTATAGTTTTGTTTTAATTTGAATTAAAAACTGACTTGGTGGGGAGGGAATAAAGTGGAACCTGCAACATTAACATAACAGAAGGTATTTTATTCCAAAAAAAAAGTATCTTAAGCTCCTACAAATGAAATGAGGAACATAAATTGCTTCTAGACATTTATTTCACAAGTGCTCACCTCCTTATTTTTCCTTATTTGTACATTTTGCAGGGTGGAATTCACTCCACCTTTAAGATTTCACAGTCACCAGCACGTATTTAAGTTACATAAAGCAAACTGAGAGCATCTTAAGGAAATGTACTCCCTTTTTTTTTTAATTGAAAAAAGGGCAACTTTACACAGTCGGTATATCGCAATTCGTGATATCTCGCCATTTCGCCGCGTACGTTAACTCGGTGAGTTACCAGAAGCCCCACAGCGGATGCAAATGGGAGAGCAGATATCACCTTGATAAGCAAACTCAGGCGCGAGTGTGCAACACCATCCAAATAATAACCCTCGCATTCGATACAGCGCCTTATCACGTCGTCGAGACGGCTAAAGCGCTTCACAAAATATACAGTAAAGTGAATTGACTGTGTATTTTGTGGGCAAAATGCAGAAGCCAATTGCGCACAGCAGCGTCCCACAAACAATCGTAGGTTGGGTTTCTACTTACCGCCAGGTAAGCAGAGGTGTGCGGCGTAAGAAAATCTGCCCAATGTTTCACCCTGCCCAGGAATTGAACCCAAGTCCTCTCGCTTGCAATGCGAGCACTCTAACCACTGAGCTACTAAACGCCACAAAACAAAATAAAAATAAAATACTTAATTGACCTTCCCGGAATAGATTAGTGCAAATCAAAATGCTGCAACTCTCCGAATTTCCCGTTCAATGGAGAAATTCCCATCCTTTTCCTGAGAGTCTTTTTGCCACTAGAGTGAAAGGAAAGCTGGATCAACAGGAATGAGCGAGAGTGATTTTCACAAGGAGCGTTACGTTTTCATCCTCATGGGGAAACAGCAGTGTTTCCATGTTCACAGAGCCGTCACCAGGTTAGACTTCTGCACGGAGTGGACTTAAGGTCCCTTTAATGTGGATTCATTTGAATTGCTGTCAGACACAATGGGAACCCACCAGCCAATGCCAAACACCAAGAGTCCCCAAATTCTCAACGTTTTGGACCATCGGTTGCCTTAAAAAAAAAAATGACCATCGAGTGGAATTTTGTGCAATGTGCCTTAAAATCGGAAGCTTCAATTCTGGACGCTCAGAAATTCTACATTATTATAATATATTCCAGGTGGAATCCATCGTAATAATAATCCTTGCACTTGATATAGAGCCTTATCACATGGTTGAGATGTCTCAAAGGGCTTCACGGAATAGTGAATTGACTGTATATTTGTGGGCAAAACACAGCAGTGTCCCACAAACAGTCGTAAATTGAGTAACCAAATTATTTTTTTAATGAATTATTACCCTCAGAAAGCGATCCGCCAATTGACTAACAACCGGATTCCAACTTACTGCTCGGTAAACAGAGGCGTGTGGATTGAGGAGGCATTGAGCGACCAGATTATTATTATTATTTTTATTATAGAATATCTCTTCTCACACCTCCCCGTTTTCCCACTTAATCCAGATCTTAGATATTAAGACAACTGTCTTAAGGGCAAGACAACTAAACACTTCAGGGTGGGGGACTCTGGTTTTCCCTTTTTTATTGGCACTTAACGCAGATTTATAGTGCAAACTGCTTGCTGTCATACTACCAAGGAAAAACTACATCTTAAGCTCACACACCTTTCCCTCTCCGATCAGCTGGTGCTTCAGAAGACAATGCAGTTACACTCTTTGCACCAAGAGGGTTAGGTCCTCGATCAGAGAAATTCTTTCCCTTAATTCGAAAGAAAAATCTTCAGACACGGAAAGTCTTTTGAGAAAGGGCATTTTGAGATTCTCGCCTCTCTCTCGGAATTCAACACGATGTTTTAACTTATTTCTTCAGAGATAAACCAATTTAGCTTACAACTTTACAATTAGTCAGCCTTGCGCATTGGGGCCAGACAGGGGAACGGGAGATGGGGCTAAAAGGTTAAATCGGATGAGTCAATAGTTAAAAGGACAAGTCTTGCCCACAACAGTGCTGGACGTTTTCTATTCAGTTCCTTCAATAGCTTCTCTGCTTTGCCCACATTATCATCCTCTCTCCCCTCTCCATCTAACCCGAACCCCCTCCCACACCACATACTTTAGAACAGGATGATCCAACCGGCGGCCCGCGGGCCACATCCGGCCCGGGGGATGATCTGATCCGGCCCGCGAACTATGCCCAACTTCAATGTCCGACAAGTAAATACAGTCGACCCGCAAGGCCCCAAGCCAATCAGGAGACGGTCACCGTGGGTGGGGGGGGGTGGGGGCAGGTTATGTCCAGCAACAAGTCTGGCCAACCAGGATAAAATATAGCTTATCAGAGGCCCGTGGACATTTCTCAAATCCGGCTTCCAGCCCTCAGCAGCCGAAAGGTTGGACCAACCTGGCTTTAGAATGTAAACATCACAACAACAACAACAACAACCTGCATTTATATTGTGCATTTCACGTTGGACGGAGTCTTGGAGCGCTTTAGATAGATAGAAATTCCAGAAATTGTCAAACTGATGAACTCAATCTTAACTTTGAAGGTGGAGGGAGGGGAGGGGGTGGGATTCTGTTAGTTCCTAAGAGAAACTTGGAGAGAAAAAAAAAGCCATTAAACTTAGCGCTGCTTCCGATTAAAAACTTGTTGAATTCAGGACATTCCAAAATTCCAAATCTAGGCCTAGGTTAATTTTTTTTTGGCAACTAGTCACTGGGGGCAGAGAGTCATCTCTCTCAGCTTCTGTTAACCCTGCAAGCCAAGGCCCTAATGGGGAGGGTGGTCCTAGCTGGACAAGCAGCGGGAAAGTTTGCCAGACAGCGATATCAATGGTAAGCTATGTGGTTTTAGCGGGTTAGACTCCAGCAGTTACTCCAACGCAAACTCTGGGGTCCCCAAGCCTTGGCTCTTGCCAACCTGCGCCTAATACTCTCCAGAATTAGGTAACCAGGATGTGTCCCTCCAGGGAGAGAGAGAAAGAGAGAGAGAGAGAACGCATTCCATTCCAACAGTCTATCTCTGGGATTCCCATGTGTAGGTGGGAGGCCTGGGATTCTCAGTTTGGTTTGGAGACTCTTAAGCATTGGGATGGGTTTCCGCATCTGTCAGACACCCGGCTGACCAAAAACACACGGTCAAGGGCACAATTAGAGACCCCCCCAACCCTGTGCACCTGGTGTGCCCTCTAGTTGTGCCCTCAATTAGAAAAAATTCCAATTCACTGAAATGTTTCTTTTCACTATGGTTTCATTATGTATACTGTTCCCATCATTGGGCACATTTGGACCTCCCTTTCTGGTGGGTGGGGGGGTGCAAAACGGACACTGAGGGGGGGAGCGGGAGAATGGGGAGGAGCGGTTTAACGCAGAGATCTGTCCCCCAAAACGAACGCCACAAAGCAAAGTTCCACCGCTTCTCAAGGCCAATGTCTCTTTGCCATCAATGTCGTCAGCCTGTGGCCGGGTAGAAGATGCCCCACAATTGCTGCAACATTGGTGGCCACAATGCCAAGTAGGGTGGGATTGATCAGAGATTATTCGCTTTGATCGGTCTTGGCACAAACCCCCAACCCCTCGACCATGAGGTACCTCCACCCACACCCCCCACCCCCCCAAAAAAAATAAATCTGTAACGCATCATCACCTGCGTAGTCCTGGATCATAAATAATAAAGGCAAAGGAAATGGAGGGTGGGGTGGGCGGGGAAGGAAAAAGAAAGGGGTAAATTAACGCAAGTAAACCAGTTCAGTCTCAACAGGGGAGACTTTGGGTCGCTCCAGGTCCACCCTTGCTCCTTGGTGGAAAGCGAGCAGTCACAGTTAGTTCAGGAGTTATCTTCCAGGGGGAAGACCAGCCTGGTGCCCCTGGAGACCTGCTCATTGTCCCCCATGCCCAGCTCGTCTTCTGAGCCCCGCCTCGCCTTCTTGCCCTCGATGCCGCTGCTGGGTGTGGTTCCCGAGGAGCCGTTGGAGGTCATTGGGGGCCCGCTGTATGTCAGGCTCAGGTCACGGTCATTCAGGATGACATCGGAGATGTCATCTCGGAGTTGCTCCTGATTCTGGGAGTTAGGGGGAAAAGATCAAACACGACATCTCAGCATTGTATCACAAGACAGTCAATCGTTAACCAACTCACCACAAGTAATAATCCCTCCAAACAAAAATGTGGTCACTCAATCCACAACTGTTTGTGGGACACTGCTGTGCGCAACTGACTGCCACGTTTCGCCCACAAAATGCACAGTCACTACACTTTACAGTATATTCTGTGAAGGGCTTTGAGACGTCTCAAAGACGTGATAAGGCGCTATATCAAATGCAAGAATTATTATTGCATTTGCGCTTTACTGTGCCTGATCAACCTGAAACACCTCAAAGAGCTTTACAGTAATTAGGAAAAGGAACATTTTCCTAATTAGTTCAGCCATTCAGCCCCTCGAGCTTGTTCTGCCGTTTTATTAGATCATGGCTGATCTTTACCTCAACTCCAATTAACCGCCCTATCCCAATATCCATTGATACTCTGACCTAACAAAAATCTATCCACCTCTGACCTGAAAATTTGAATGGACCCAACATCCTTTTGAGGGAGAGAGTTCTAGATTTCCACTAATTGCCATCAATTTCTTGGTCTGAAGGTTGTGGATTCAAACCCTACAAAAGGATTTTAAGGTCAAATTTTAGGCTAATATTCCAATGCAATGCTGGCGGAGGGGGCGGGGGGAAAGGAGAGCACTGCGTTGTTGGAGGTGCCGTGCTCTGAGATGCCAACAGTATTCGAAAAGACAAGAGAGTTTCTTCCTAATGTCCTGACCAATAATTCCCCGTGGTAAAATGTATCACTTCATGGCTGTTTTGTGGGCTGTCGGCAATATTGGTTGCCTTGATCGTGTACAAAAACACAGTCACTACCTGTCCAAGTCCAATTCCTCAGCCTTACTGAGCATCAGCTGCTTAATCCAGGTAAGCAGGATGTGTCTCTCCAGGGAGAGAGCGCGTTCCATCCCAACAACCTATCTCTGGGATTTCCTTGTGTAGGTGGGATGCATGGAATTCTCAGTTTGGTTTGGATGCTCTTAAGCACGGTGAGGTGTCAGATGCCCATCAGACAAGCCTGGGACGCTACCCTGCCTGAAGGGCCCTATATAACTGCAAGTTGTGGTTGTCTGACCACAAAAAAAAAAACACTACACATGACAGTAATTACTGTGAAGGGCTTCAGTGTTTAAAGGCTTTGCGAGTTCTTTCTTCTTGGGTACATGTGGATCCGTGGTCACTCACCTCATAGGCGTGAGGGCTGGTCAGACACCTGGCGAGGGGTCCACAGCAGGCGGGCAATGTGGTGGTCAGCGGAGGTCCACTGTGTGTCAGGATCGGCTTCAGGTAACTGGGCAACGTGACTTGTAAAGGAAACCAGCTCAAAATAACACCGGACTCGAAACATCTTAAAGCACCTCGAGTCTCTACCCTACACGACAGTGATTATGAGCACCACTGGACAGAAATGCCTTCATTCATCGCAAAACATGTTTGTTCAGCTCAAAGGCAGTAGAGAAAGATGGAACTGGGCAGATACAAGGAGATAGGAAAAGGGCAGGTAAAGTGGGACTGAGAGGATTGCTCTCGAGGGAGCCAGCACAGACACGATGGGCTGAATGGCCTTCTTCCGTGCCGTACGTGACTATTGGAGTCCAGTAGCTCAGTGGTTGGAGCACTCGCCTCGCAGGTGAGAGACCTGGGTTCGATTCCCAGCAGGGCAAAATGTTGGGCAAGTTTCCTTACTCCACACGCCTCTGTCTGCCAAGCAGTAAGTAGGCACATCGTCTTTTGGGGGTAATAATTCCTTCAAAACAAATAAAAATAATTGTCACTCAATCCCCAACTGTTTGTGGGACACTGCTGTGCGCAATCGGCTGCCACGTTTCGCCCACAAAAGATGGTCAATTCACTTTACAGTATATTCTGTGAAGCGCTATATCAAATGCAAGGATTATTATTATTAATGTTCTATGGTTCTAAACATTCTGCATCTTCTCTGCTTCCCTCAGGAATGCCAGAGTGGGGGAGGAAGAGAAGGCTTCATCAAAACGGCTGCTTTGCACATGTTCTGGTTCAGCTCCAGGTCACTTGCCAACCCTTTAGGGTTTAATTTCAACAAACCCACCGTCTGCTCCAACAACAGCCTCAATCTGCCCGCCCCGGGAAATGTGGTTACAGCACTCTGACTTATCAGAGTCTGACTCAATTGGAACATCCTCCGATTTGTATTTACTGTTATTGCTGTGTTCAACTCGCTGTCGAGTTTCGCTCACAAAATACAATCGATACTTTACAGTATAAGCACTTTGAGACGTTTCAACAACGCTATAAGGCACGATATCAAATGCAAGGGTTATTATTATAGTCAAACTTAACCAACGGCAGAGCGCAAACAGACGCACAGATTCATCCCCGGCCAAAAAGGATACTTGTGATCAAAGCTGTACCATAGTCTGAAGAGCCAGGCACTTTCTTGCTTTGTTCTGCTGCCTCTCTCAGGGTGTGCATCATCCTTTTATTTATATTAACAAAAACAATAAATTATTTGGCTTTACGTAGAACTTGAAAGATAATGGGAGAGGTGAGCGGGAGGGTGCGGGGAGGGGGGAAGTGGGAGTAGAGAAGGGGCAAAGAAAATGGAGTGAAATACAGTATTATGCAATTTATGCAATCTATATTTATATATAGAGCTTTCCACTTCGAAAAGACGTCTTAAAGCGCTCAACACTGTTGTTTGCGGAGTGAAGATCGCGGCTGGGTCAGTAGGGTTAAAGGCGGTGTGGGAGAGACCGTGGAGGAGTTTGAAGGTGTGAACGAGGATCTTGAATTTCCGCTGGGGGATGCAGAATTAATTGTTCACAATTATGAGGGGTTTTGATAGAGTAAATAGGGAGCAACGGTTTTACCCCCACTCTTACTGCACTTTTACCCACAGAGTTGGGTAAAAGTGCAGTAAGAGTGGGGGAGTGGGAGTAGTCGGTAGCTCTTTCAAAGGGTCGGGATAGTCATGATGGGCCGAACGGCCTCCTTCTGTGCTGTAAGATTTTATGATTCGATGAAGACGACCGAGGTTTGGGTGTTGGACTCACAGAGCCTGATGCGGGGGAGGGCACGGGCTGCAGAATTCTGCTTAGTCTGCAGCTTGCGTAGGGGAAGAGTTAGGAAGTCTGGCGAGCAGGGCTTCAGCACGGTCAAGCCTGGACGTGATGAAAGATGAGGGTCTTTACAGACGGAGGGGCTGGAGGTTAGTGGTGGAGGCGGGCGATACAACAATCTCTAAGGGAATTACTTTAATTTAGGAATCACAGTAAGGACCTCTTCTGGTGACTGGAAGGACAGCACATTGATCTCTGCTCCTGGAAACAGAAGCACATTAGCATTCACTTGGTTCCTAGTTTCACGATGAGAAAACGAAAGGTCATGGTATTGGGTGGTGGTGGTGGGGGGGGGGGATGGTGAGAGACGTTCGTGCTTGAAAAGGGAACATTTGCAGAGCTATGGGATTGGAAATCAGTGGTTGGAAATTCCCATCTGTCTTATAGCCAGATTTAGAGTTAGCCCCGTCTCCCACAGTTACTTACGCCCTGTAACACTTGAAAATTCTCATTGTTGGCTGGCTGGTCCTCATCTGGATCCACACCAACTCTGAAACACACAAAGCAATCTCTCAGTTAGGAAACAAAAGTGAACGACAATACCTTTTAAACCTCCCCCACCCCCAATGTGCAGGCCTCGTAACACCCCAGCACCTGGGCCTCAACATCCTCCCCCCCACCCCACCACCTGGGCCTCAACACCCTCCCCCCCACCCCACCAACCACCTCCCACCCAGACCTTTCAACCCGTGCAACCCACCACCAGCCACATATTGGCGGCGGGCTAGGATAGTGCAGGAACAGAATTGGATATCTCTCCCCTCCACACTGGCCTCCCCCCACTACACACGGGCCTTCCGACACCCTACCCAACAGCTTTCCAAGCCTTCTCCCCCTCCCCACATCAACCTCACACACCCACCTACCCCGCATCTCTCCCCTCCCCCACCCACATTGGCCTCTCCCACACACACACACACACACACAGGGCCTGTGCAAGAGAAAAGCAGCTACTTGTAGCCCAGTTACACTGAGCACTTGTCATTCAGCCCAGCAGCTCACTCTCTGTGCTAAGCAGCTTCTGGAGATAATCCAAACCACAGCAATTTACAGCGCACAAAAAAGCCATTTGGCCCACACATTGGCACTCTGAAAACTTACCCCATTCTGCTGCCTTTCCTCCTCGCTTCTCTACAGCTATTTCACCGAAACATATAAAACACTCAGTGATGATGAGACAGGACGATAAACCACTTCACTGCTTTTTATGGTTACTGCCGCTCAACCCATGGGATGGATCAGCAGTAGCCATAAAAAGCAGTGACATGTTGGTTTTATGGTGACTCGGTAAAAGGTGCCACAATCAAGGGCTAGACTCCAGTCAGGCTCGGCTGGAGTTTCAGTGCTAATTGCTAATTAGCACCAGTTACAGGTTAATGAAGGTGCCAGTAGAAAACTGGAGGTTGGTGAGAAGCAAGGAGAGTCTGGAGAAGACAGATGTAAAAAGGAATAGCTTTCCTTTCCTTTCTTTCTATTGTTAAAACCGTTTTGCAAGTTTTATTTGCCGGGAGTGACCCCCAGCCGCCTATGTTTGACCTATAAGATGCTGAAAGATTCCTTAGAAAAAAATTATTCGGTCACTCAATCCACGACCGTTTGTGGGACACTGCTGTGTACAAATTGGTTGCCGCGTTTCGCCCACAAACATACAGTTACTACTTTACAGTATATTTTTATGAAGCGCTTTGAGACGTCTCGAGGATGTGATAAGGCGCTATATCGAATGCAAGGATTATTATTATATTATTATTATAAACGGGATTAAGAAAGTAAACCTTGAACAATACTTTTAACTACACCGAGGCAGCAGGGCAGGATGGTGCAGGGTTCCGGGTGATGAAGGACAATTTTAGGACGGACACCAGGAAGTATTTCTTCACCCAGTGGGCAATTAACGACTGGAATGGGGATTGCCAGTAAAAGTGGTCGAGACAGTGGACGCATCCAAGAATCAGGTCGATGCTATGAAGGGTGTAGGGATGAGATGTGGTATTATCTGGGTACACTCACACTCAAAAATCACAACAATAATCCTTGCATTTGATTTAACGACTTATCACATCTCTGAGACGTCTCAAAGCACTTCACAAAATATATTGTGAAGTGAATTGACGATGTACGTTTGGATAAAACACAGCAGCCAATTGCGCACAGCAGAGACCCACAAAGTCATGGATTTAGTGACCAAATCTTTTTTTTGGGGGTGTGAGAGGGATTATTATCCCTGAAAAGCGATGCCCCAATTGACTAACACAGGGTTCCTACTTACTGCTAGAGTAAACAAGAGGCACATGGAATAAGGAAACTCGTCTAAATTTGGTCTGTATTGCCTTGAGTTCAGAAGGTTAAGGGGTGATCTAATTGAGAATAAAGGGATCCAATAAGGTGGATACAGAGAAAGTATTGCTGCTGGTGGGGGAATCCAGGACAAGGGGTTATCAGAGCTAGAAGTTAAAATTAGAGCTCGGCCATTTAGAAGTGAAATCAGGAGGCAGTTTTTCACCCAAAGGGTAGTGGAGATCTCGAACCCTCTCCCCCAAAAGACTGTGGATGTTGGATCCATTCAAATTTTCAAGACTGAGGTGGATAGATTTTTTTGTCAGGTCAGGGTATCGAGGATATGGGATAAGGGCGGGTACAGATCAGTCATGATCTTATAGAATGGTGGAACAGGCTCGAGGGGTTGAATGGCCTACTCCTGTTCCTAAGACTTTGCCCCGTCCAGGAATCAAACCTGGGTCCTCTCACTTGTGAGGCGAACGTGCTGACTAGTATCCTGCAAAACGCTGCTGGCCACAGTGAATACTGGCCACTCGGGCGAAGTGACAGAGAATGTCTGAGGAACTACAGCCCAAAAGAAAGAAAAAGGGGTCCATATTTTTCGCCCACAAAATATACAGTCAATTCACTGTACAGTATATTCTGTGAGGTGTTTTGAGACATCGCGAAAATGTGATAAGGCGCTACATCTAATGCAAGGATTATTATTATTGCGTGTCCTCCAGAAGATGGGGGGGATGGTGGGGAAGTGAAACAAATCTTAAATTTCTTCCCTTTTCCTGTATCTTGATGAGATGATCAACGCGAGGCAGAGAGGTTCAACTGTAGCAATTGGCAGGAGTACAGAGTAGAATTACGAGGATGTTACCAGGAATTAGTGATTAATACTCCACTCATCATTGCACCCAACACTCCCAAATTAGGTAAACAGGGTCATCCCTCCAGGGACAGAGTGTGTGCAGTCCATCCCAGACACACGAAAATCTGTTTCGCCTACAAAATAGAGTCAATTCACTTTACAGTATATTCTATGAAGCGCTTTGAGACGTCTCAACGACGTGATAAGGCGCTATATCAAATGCAGGTATTATTATTATTATAATATGTGAAACTCAATCTGGGTTGGGTTCTTTTAAGCACAGCAAAGGGTTTCCGTATGTGTCAGACACCCGGCTGACCAAAACAGGGTGGGTACAGAAAGATTGGACAAGTTGGAGTCTTTCTCTTTTGCGATTAGAGGATTGAGAGAGGACCTGATAAGAGGTGTTTAAGGTGATGAAAGGATTTGTTAAGTTGGACTTTGATAGGCTGTTTACACTTGTTGGTGAGGCCAAAACTTGAGGATGTAAATATAAGATAGCCAGTAATATATCTAATAGGGAGTTTTGGAGGAGCTTCTTCACACAGAGGGGGGGGTGAGAATGTGGAACTCACTGACAGAAGCTGTGGTTGAAACGGAAAGCACCAACAAATTTAAGGGGAAACGTGATGTACACATGATGGGAAGGAAATAGAAGAGGGGATTAGTAGGCGTGAAGGCTTAAATGGAGCATAAAACATTGGCATGGACTAGTTGGGCTGAAAGTTCTGTTTCCTTACCATAGTTTTTTATGTAATTCTACATAGTTGAAGCCGTTTAAAGTAAAAGGTAAAGAGGTTGGAGAACAAAACATCCCTCTGGTAAGCAATCCAGAAACAGGGGCCATCATCGTAAAATTAGAGCCACCAGTGAATCCAGAAGATATTTTGTCACACCAAAGAGCTGTGAGTATATGGATGCAATGCCTCAGAGGACTTAAGGCAGGTTTAAGAGAGGGAGCGTTAAAAAAAGTCTGACTTTCAGGTCATTAGGTTACTGCCATTACTTCCTGTGAGCTGTACTGAGGGTCAGACCAGTCACTGAGGGCAGACGTGAGCTCAAATTCCTTTAAGCAATAAGGAGAAAAGGCAAGGCAATGGGCTTCAAAAGTTGAGGAGTTGCCTTGGACTAATAAAATGTGTGTGGGATGGGGAGGCCAAAGGTCCTACTTCCCTCTTTGTGCTACTCACACAACTCACAGGACGACTTTGGTGGATGCCCTTGAAAATGTCAATATTATAGAAAGAGTTACGAGGGGGAGTGAGAGCACAGAGGTTGATCTGGAGCAAGGCATAAAAATGTTGTTTGTTTCGAGAACAAATCAGATAGATTTCTGCTAGAAAATAATATCTCGGGACACAGTATATAGTGTGGGACACGACATGTGGTGCCAGTATGGTGGTGGAATTAGATGGTCTTTTTTCGCTTAGCAAATTCTTATGTTCTTAAGGGATAAATCTAGTGGTCGGGTTATTGATACCAGGCAGGTGTGGGGGTGGTGTGCTGCGTGAAGAGGGTTATGGGGGGGGGACAAAGAGAGAAGGTGTGTGGGTGAGGCAAGAGGCCATTTTGAGATGTGTTTATTTCCTTGTACCCCAGTCCCAAAACAAACACAATAGGCAAATAAGGTTCAAACATCTCAAGAGCAACAAATGGCAAGAGAAGCGGCAGCCTCGAGAACACACATTGCACCTGAACAGGTAGGTTAGAGACAAGTAGTGAGGAGGCAGATCAGAGGCAGCCGCGGAAAAGAACAGCTGAATGGCCTCCACCTGGCGTCAAGGATAGAGAGAGAACTTGCAACATAAGGTTAGATGTGGCTCACTTCAAGCAAGCGCCAGGGTTGAAGCCAAGGCACACAGGAACAAGAATCCGGAGCACGAGAGGAAGATGGGGGGGTGAGGGAGGGGAGGGCTCGCTCAGAGATTAAAGGGATTTAAACGGTGTTAAAAATATAAGCCAGTCGAGCCGAGGAGAGCGTCACCTGAAGTATTGCCAGCGATCGTCACTCGAGTCCCCGGACGCGCTCTCACCGACTCTGGCACAGTACAAGAACGCAGAGTGAGAATGAGCGCTTGTGCACACTCACAAGCACCGAGTCGCAGCTCCCCCCTAACCCCACCCCACCCCCCCATCTTGCCAGACAGAGCTCTCAGTGGCAAACTATTTGTTGCTTGTTCCGCAATTTATTTTGAGCAGCCGGGTGTCTGACCCACACAGAAACCCATCCCCGTGCTTAAGAGCATCCAAACCAAGCTGAGAATTCGATGCCTCCCACCTTACACGTGGAAACCCCAGAGACAGACTGACGGTCGGCATAAAAAAAACACATTAAAAAAAATTAAGATCTCTATTTGGGATTTTATCATGGATATTTGGGCTGTTGGATTTATTCTTCCCTTTTAAGATAGATATTCCTCCCATCTTTATCACTCTCTCTCTCACCACCACATCCCCAGCACAGCTCACCCTCCAAATATAGTTCTCTTGTACTCAACATCACGTGGGCACACAGTTGCACACACACACACTCTTGCGCACACACTCTTGCACGCACACACACACTGGCGCGCGCACACCCACTGACACTCTTGCACACACACAGAGACACTCTTGCGCACGCACATACACACACACACTCTTGCACACGTATACACACACACAATACACAGTTGGTCAGAACTCCAGGGAAGACGTTCCCTTCCCTTTTCCAAGCCAGGCCTCAGTTTCACGTCACAGCTGCAGGTCCGCACCTCTCAGCAGTGTATCGTACGGTCAAGAACCAGAGGGCGTCCTATCTGGCTGAACCCATGACCCGCCGAACCAGAGGCCAGAGCGCTGCCAAATGGTCGTCCTGCCACCTAGAGCTAAAGCTTGGAAGTGCAGCAAAGCACAAGGTTTAACAGGATATTTCTGGCTTTGCAGTGCATTGATCTCAAGGTCCTCACCCTCACCTACAAATCCATCCACTCCCTGGCACTTCCTTGCCGCCACGATCTCTTCCTACCCTAGTCCTCACCTCGCCTCCTCCGCTCGGCTAACTCGAGCGTGCTACACGTCCCCTGCCCGGTCCGTGTCATCATTGGTTCCTAAGTCCCTAACCTCTGGAACTCCTTCCCTTTCCCTTTCATCGCGCAGAGACTCGGATGCAAATCCTTGACAGTCCAGCACCTTGGGATGTCCTCCGGACTCGAGAGGTGCCGTCTAAATGTCATTTGTTGCTGTCGTTGCACACAGCAATGTCTGTTGGCCAGGTCTCTTTTCAAATCGTGTCACGGGATCTTTAATGTCCACCTGAACAGGCGCAGGCGGGATCGTGGTTTTATCGTCTCAGAGCAAAGGCTCCGACAATCAGGACTGACCTGATCCGCAGATACGAGAGCATCGGTGTGGTGCCTCCACCGAACACCCAGACCGTGAAGAAGACAATCAGCAGCGTGGTGGTGAACATCATCCTCCTGGCGTAGTTGGCGGTGTCTCGGATTGCCAGGGCAAAGGTCATGGCTCCCCTTAAACCTGCAAACATCAGAGCCAGAGGGTAAGGGTCAGTCGGAGGGTCCTTCCTCTATCCCCCCGCCCCACTTCCTCTAAACCCCCCCGCCCCCACTTCCTCCAGCGCTCCCCTCGTCCGATTTCCTCCAACCAGTCCCCTTGCCCCACTCTTAACCCGTCGCCCTCTCCCAGGTCAGTGCAGGTAACCTACCTGCGATCATCATCATGTGCTGAAAGTTCCAGCTGATCTTATGTTTTCTACCCAAATTCAGTAAAAATGACAGAGGGTAGATGTTGGTGGCTCGGCCCAGGAAGACAGCGATCTAGCAACAAGCAATAAGTTAAGGAATTTCAACCTCATCCAGAGAGCGAGCCTTAGAGAGCCCCGAACTAGGCAACAACACCCTGGGCCATTCCGCAAACCCCGATCCTTCAACCAAAATGCCTCTGTTTACCAGCAGTAAGTAGGCACCCAGTTGTCAGTCGATTGACGGATCGCTTTTCCGGGGGTAATAATCCCTTCAAAATTATTTTGGGTAAAAATAATAAATTGGTCACTCAATTCATGACTGTTTGTGGGACGCTGCTGTGTGCAATTGGCTGCCGCGTTTCTCCCACACAGTATACAGTCAATTTGCTTTATATCTATATATATATATATCCTGTGAAGCGCTTTGAGAGGTCTCGAAGACGTGATAAGGAGCTATATCAAATGCAAGAATTATTATTATTATAAAGACACCTCTCGCCACAGTCAGTGTGAGGGATATTGTAGAGAGCAAAAACAGGTTAAAAATGATACAATAAAACAGGTACTTGTGTCTTGGCCTCAACTTGTCTAATCAGTGCTCACAGCTCATTCCTCTAACACTGGGGAAAATAACAGAGAGGGGGAGGCAGGGCAAGGCAGGCAAAGGAGAAAATGGGGTAGAGGACAGGGGATGATGGGTTCAAGAGGTGTTAATGATGCAAAACGGAGAAGGGGGGAGCAACAAAATAGGAAGACAAGAGAGTGAAAAGGTGTGTCTGGGGCCAAGATGAAGTGGTGATGGTCACAGAAGAGGGGGAGGGGGAATGTGAGCTGTTACGGTCTGAAATTATTGAAATCAATATTGAGGCCAGAGGGCTGTAAGGGCCCGAGCAGATAACTGAGGTGCTGTTCCTCGAGCTGGCGCTGCGACTCAATGGAACAGCGTAGGAGACCGTGGATGGAGAGGTCAGAGTGCGAGCGGGAGGGAGAGTTGAAGTGGCAAGAAGGCGGAAGCTCAGGGTTGCGCTGTAAAGAGGAGCGGCTGTGGGTTTTGTGGCCGAAATCAGAGAAATGCTCGTTACTCTGTTCACTGGGATGTGGGGCAAGAAACTCAACCTCTTACAGCCAAACAGGCGGAGGGGATTTTGGTTCTTTCAGTCCGGCTCGTCCCGCGGTACTTCCTCGCGCCACCCACCCACCCACCCACCCACCCCACCCACATATATAAAGAGAGGCGAGTCATTAAGGTGCCACCAATACGAGGAGGGTCTGGGGAAAGGATACGAAGGCTCCCACTATGAAGATGGGATTGAACACATGGTTCTGGAATGTGAAGAGAGCCAAACCCATGTAGGAGAAGATGAAGTTTTCAGTCAAGAAATTCAGGACTTCGAATAACTACAAACAGAATATCAAAGCATTACAAAATACACACACACATACATATATATATACACAAATATACAGTCAATTCACTTTACAGTATATTCTGTGAAGCGCTTTGGGATGTCTAGAAGACGTGAAAAGCGCTATATCAAATGCAAGGATTATTATTATTATATATACATGTACACACACAGATACACCCCCCCCCCCACAGACACACACACATCCCCCACAGACACACACAGAGACACCCCCACCCACCCCGCAACCCCCCCCCCCCACACACACACAGACATCCCTCAGACACACACACAGAGACATCCCCCACAGACACACACAGAGATACCCCCCACCCCCACCCACACAGACATCTCCCACACACAATTACACACTTAGACATACACACAGATACACCCCCCACAGACACACACTCGGACACACATAGACACACACACAAATACACCACCCCCCCTCACACACACACTTACACACCCAGACACACCCAGATACAGTCCCCCCTACCCACATACAGATACACACCCACCCACAACACACACCCATGCTAAGAATTACAATATAAGAGCTGCCATATGAGGTGGAGCCATTTCCCCCCCTTCGGCTGTCGGGGGGCCGGGGTGGGGCGGGGGGGGGGGGGGGAGATGGGCAGGGATGGAGTTACTGGATTTGTTACATTGGGGAGTGAGAGGGACAGATGTAGTTCCAACGCCTTGGGACGTCCTCCCGACACGAGCGGCGGGATGCAAGTGTCATTTTGTTGTTGTTGTTGTTGTTGTTACTCACCTGTTTGGTGCGGGATCTGGACTCTATCGACAGGTTGTTGTAGGTGTAATGAGCCTGTGTGATTCCACAGAAGAGAACGGCAACCACACCTGCAAACACACATCACCCGTACAGTTACACAGAGTGAAAAAAAGGCCCAGAGGCCCATGACATCTGCTTAGTTAGTAACACTCCCATCTCCCAGTCAGAAGCTTGTTGGTTCATGCCCCCTCGTCGCGACTTTGAGCTCAGTCTAAGCTGACGCTACCTTTCTGACCCGTTTTCTCCTCACTCCACTCTCCGCTCGGCTGGCCTTTGGCCTCCTGCTTATTTATCGCCCCCTCCACCGTCGACGGATGAGCTTTCAGCCACTATGTCCCGAAGCTTTGAATCTCTCTCCCTCAATCCCTCCTCTTTCCCCTCCTTTAGATCACAAACGAGGACCTTCCTCTTTGTTCGTGCTTACGGTCACCTCCTTTCTCCTTCCCCACTGGCTCAGTGTCAGGCTCCACCACTGTCAAGCGATTCGAGACGCTATCCCACATGAATATTGCTATATAAATGCAAGTTGTTTTTGTAAATCCCTGCCAAAAGCCTATGTCTTCAACTGCAACCAACTCCCTTTCCTCCGTTGCTCAGCGTCCAACCTATCCCCCTCCTCCGGCTGTGTCAATGCCCTGAGGCGCAATCCTGCGTGAAGAGTGCTATATAAATACAAGTTGTTGTTGATGTGGTTAAGATGCTGCGAGCCTGCGCTCGTGCAGTAAACAGAAAGCCCTGTGAGAGATGAAACACACCTTCGGCTGCTTTCACATTCAAAGGCATCAGCATTCTGCGGGAACTATTCACCCAGGGCTTACAGTAATAACATCCAGACACAGTGATGGATTGTTACAGCCGCTGGAATCAAACGCAGTTTCTCAAAAAATCATTAATGACTGTTCACAGCACAGAAGGAGGCCTTTGTGTCTATATTGACATTAATGCTCCCCCCTCCTCCCCAGCTGTCTACTCTACTGCTAAGTTCTCTCCCAATGCACTCTTATCATTATATCGTATCGATTTTCTGGGGATAATCATCCCTCCAATAATAATAATATGGACACTCAATCCACGACTGTTTGTGGACCCTGTGTGCGCAATTGGCTGCCGTGTTTCACCACAAAAATGCACAGTCAATTCACGTTACAGAACATTCTGTATTTTGTGAGCAAAACGTGGCAGGCAGTTGTGCACAGGGATGTCCCACAAACAGCCATGAAGTGAATGACCAATTTTATTTGGGGATTGTTGGCCAGGACGTCGGGAGAAAGAAATGCCCTTCAGTCAATACTTTACAGTATATTCTGTGAAGCGCTTTGGGACGTCTTAAAGATGTGATAAGGCGATATATCAATGCAAGGATTATTATTATTCTCTTTTCAAAACGTGCCATGGGATCTTTAATGTCCACCTGTACAGACAGACTGGACTTCGGTTTAACATCTCATCTGAAGGACGGCACCTCTGCCAATGCAACACCCCCCCAGCGCTACATTGGAGTGTCAGCTTGAACTGTGTGATTCCAAGTCCCGACATGAGGCTTGAACCCACAACCTTCTGACTCAGAGTCTTTGGCAAACAGGGCTGAATGGGAGGGTATCCGACTTCCCACGCGTAATCCTGTGCAGCCGACCCAACAATGAATCCTGCTCCATTTTAATGCCCCTCAAACTCTGGGTGTGAGCAGAGGGTTTCCTGAGGATTGGAAAGCATTGAGAACCCATCACAATACTACCTCTCGCCCTTTCGATTGAATAATGAGAAGCGCTGTTAGGAAGTATGGTTTGTCCCCAGGGTATGAGACTGTAGCAGTGGCTTGGTTGGATCTGCTTATAAAAATCATTACATTTACAGAAAGGCAGCGTTTAAAATCATCAGCTTTACGGTACAGTCTGTGCTGAAACTCAAACGCTGTCTAGTGCCCGACAGTAGATAATACTAATAATCTTTGCAAAGCTGATGGGCTTCGAGACGTCTCAAAGACGTGATAGGGCGCTGTATCAAATGCAAGGATTATTATTGTTGTCTGATATAGCGCTTTATCACGTCTTCGAGCCATCTCGAAGCGCTTCACAGAATATACTGTAAAGTGAATTGGCCGTATATTTTGTGGGCAGCCAATTGCACACAGCAGGGTCCCGGAAAACAGTCGTAGATTGAATGACCCTTTTTTTTTTAAGGGGATTATTATCCCCAGAAAAGCAATCTGCCAATCGACTAACAACCAGGTTCCTACTTACTGCTAAGTAAACAGAGTCTTGTGGAGTAAGGAAACTTGCCCAAGGTTTCTCCGTGCCCGGGAATCGAACCCAGGTCCTCTCGCTTGCGAGGCGAGTGCTTTAACCACTGAGCTACAGGAATCCAGGATTCCGCATTTTGCCCACAGAATATATACTCGATTCACTTTATATTATTTGATATTGGTGACCGGTCACATTCATTGTAAATCTGAAGCAAACGCTCCACTCTTTCCCCCCCCCCCACCCCAGCACCCCCTCCCGCCCCATTCAATCACACAGGATGGATCTCTCCACACACAAGAACCTACCGGTGAAGCCACATGCCTCAGCCAGGAGGAAGGTGCTCCAAGACATCAGGAAGAAGAGAGCCGTCTCCAACAGAGGGAAGCAGTGCAACTTGGTGAACTTGGTGACGTGGAGAGAAAGAGTTAAAGACAACAGCTTAAGAGCAGTGACTCGCTAACCCGCCTCTCCGGGGAGGAGCGGGGATATCAGACCCCGAGGGAACCTCGTGATTCCCGAGGGAAATCAGGCAGGTTTCCAGGTCCTCGTGCCTGCGTTCAAATCCTTCCTCGGCCTCACCTCCCCCCACGCCCATCCTCCGCGCCCCCCACCACACACACGCCTTGTGACCTCCATCCATTCATGTCCCTGCCCGCTTCACCCCATCATCTTTCTGCCTTTTTGCCCCCGCTCTCTGCTGCACCATCCCACTGTCCCTCCGCCTCGGCCCCTCCCGCCTCATCTTAAGACCTATCTTTTTGACTGCGCTTTCGGCCAAGCTTCCCCCCAACCCCTCCATCACCATGATCACCAATCTCGGGGTCCCAGCCAGCTGTAATAAAGCCCTTTGAAGTCCTCCCGGTGTGAAAGGCGCTATACAAATTAATTTGTGTTTTTTGTTGTTGTTCCTCCCAACGTGAGCTCTGCACTGTATACCTTTGCCTTTAGTTCCCTTTAACCCAAGTCTGACAAGCGTTAAATAGTCGCGGGACGTGATAATTGTCGGAGGAAATGCGTTATTTGTAATGAGGCATCATGATTAGAGGTTTGAGCCAGACATTGGGGTTGAGTCACACCAGCCTGTGGGGACGAGATTGTGAATATAAATCATGTCAAAGACAGTTCCTGTCATAGCGCAGCCAGCACTGATATCACAACAGAGGCTAAGTGGTGTGTCTATCTGCAGTTCAGTACCAGCCAGCACTGATATTATAATAAAGGCTGAGCTATCTATCTCTCTCTGTTCTGCCTGTCTTGTCGCTACAAAAACACTCACGGTTTAGAACCGGCAGCTTTACACTGACACAAATCCTCAAACACAAAAGAGGAGTGTGTAACGTACAACGAACACGTCAATCCAGTGATCACAACAACAGCAAATTACAGGAGGACGTCCCAAGGTGATGGACAGTCAGGGATTTGGACCCGAGCTGGGGGTTGGGATCAGTAGGGGTGGATGCCAGGGAGGGTAGGGGTAGGAGGGTGGCCAAAGGTGCGGTCGAAGAGGAGGGTCTTGAGACCGGCCTTGAAGGAGGCGAGGGAAAGAGCGAGGCGGGGGGAGCGTGGGATGGAGCTCCAATATCACACACGGTCACATTCAGAAGGATATCAGAGCAGTCATCACTCCGGTCACGGCTCCCATAGCAAACGATCCACTGAAGATTCCCAGGAAAATCCCCACTGACTTGAAGAAAGCAGCGGTGTCAAAGGTCTCCCCCGCCGGCTGGTAGGCAACAATAGACCTGGGGGAGGGGGGAGGGGGTGCGAGAGAGAGGAGAATTATAGAGTGGAGTCCTGTAGCTCAGTGGTTAGAGCACTCGACTCGCAAGTGAGAGGACCTGGGTTCGATTCCCGGGCAGGGCGAAACGTTGGCCAAGTTTCCTTACTCCACGCGCCTCTGTTTTCCGAGCAGTAAGTAGGAACCCGGTTGTTAGTTGACCGGCGGATCGATTTTACGAGAGTAATAATCACTCAAAACAAAAAAATAATAAGAAGAATTTGGTCACAGCTCAAAGCGCTTCACAAAATATACTGTAAAGTGAATTCGCTGCGTATTTTGTGGGTACACAGTAGCCAATTGCACATGTTAATGTCGCGCACAAACTTGCCTTGGGTTTCGCTCTGCCCAGGAATCGAACCCGGGTCCTTTCGCTTGCGAGGAGAGTGCTCTAACCAATAAACTAGGATTCTAACGTGTAAACGGAGGGTTTACACTGTACAAACAGAGGGCAATGACACTGTAAATCGAGCTGCAAATTTGATTGCAAAAATTTAAAACCAAATTTGCAGCGATAAAGAAGATTGTTATAACAAGGTATCTGATACTCTTTCTCCTGACTCCAGGTCAGTTTTCGGTGGGTGCATAAGTTGAACGTTGCTCCTTGCTTTTATAACAATAAAAATAATAATAATAATGCTAATCCTTGCATTTGATATTAAGTCTTTGAGACGTCTCAAAGCACTTCACAGGATATACTGCAAAGCGCATTGACTGTGTGTTTTGTGGGCGAAACGCAGCAGCTAATTGCGCACAGCAGCGTCCCCACAAACAGTCGAGGATTGAGTGACCAAATTATTTTTAAGGGAATTATTACCACCAGAAAGCTATCCGCTAATCCTACTTACTGCTGGATAAACAGAGGTGTGTGGAGTACGGAAACTCGCCTAAGGTTTCACCTGTTTGTAAAGTAATATTTTCAGACTGAGAGGTTCTCTACTCACGACGAGAGAATGATGGCGACGGCATCATTCAGTACACTTTCCCCAAACAGCAGAGCGTAGAGATCAACATCAACCTGTAGTTCATGGAATATGGCAAGGACAGTGACTGCGGAGAGAGAGAGGGGGGGGGAAGAGACAAAGAGGATGAGAGAAAAGGGTGAGTGGACGGGAAGAAAGAGAGGGAGGGAGTTAGAGGGAGAGAGAGAGTGGCAGAAAGAAAGAGGGGTAGAGAGAGAGGAAGAAAGAGAGAGAAAGAGGAGGAAAGGTAGACGGAGAGGAAGAAAGTGAGAGGGAGAGAGAGAGGGGACGAAAGGGAAAGAGAGAGGAGATGAAAGAGAGAGGGGGGAAGAAAGGGGGAGAGAGAGGCAGAGGAGAGACAGAGGAGATACAGAGAAAGGGAGATATGTAAGAGCAGAGGGAAATGATAAATCTTGGGTCTCCATCACAATTTACAGAAAGACGCCTCCAAAACTTCAGACTTTATTTAAGAATTTGCTAAACTCGCGGCGGTTCTGAAAGGCCGAGTAGATGGGAGTAGACCTGGACCCGGGCAGGACTTCTCCCCGTAAGAGTTTGAATGTTAATTACAATTTCTTTTCCCAAACTGTGGTGATGAGGGATGGAGGAAATTCACATCTGAACCCCATAATGTTTAATGGTCCCCCACTGCCCTCTCCTTCCTGGCCCCACCCTCCCCAAAGTCCCACCCCTGACTAGCTAGCCCCACCCTCCCTCCTCATAGCCCACCCCCAATGACCAATAACCCCGCCCATCTCCCAAAAGCCCCGCCCTCCTTCACTCTAAACAGCCCAACACCCTTCTCTGGCCGAACAGTTGATTTGTCTCCCCCCCCACTCATCTGACAAAAGACCCCGCCCCCACCACCCACTGCCCCGCCCTCCCACTGCTCCACCCATACCCCATCAGGGCTCCACCCTACCTGGCAGCTTCGCCCACACCCTGCCCTCAGCCCTCACCCCGCCAACTGCCCGCCCACCCTCGGCACCACCCCCACCCCACCGGTGGATCCGCCCCCACACCCCCCCGCCCCCCAGCAGTGCTGAGCTGACGGGTCACCTGGATCAGTAGCAGAGATAATGGCTCCGAAGAACAGGCAGTCCGTGTAGTAAAATACTCCGTCCAACATCCCCACCGCTTTCATCAGTTTAACAACACCGTACATCAGGTTCCTGCAAACACAATCAGTACTGCTTCACCCTCAACCCACACCAGAAATCAAACCAAATAATAATCATCATAGTTTCATCAGATATAGCGCTTTTCATGCACTCGTCTCGAAGCGCTTCACGGGATTTGACAGTGAAGTGTGGTGACCGTGTGTCTGGGAGCAGACAATTCACACCCAGCGATGTCCCCACGCGCAGCCCTGAAGCGAGCGAGTGATTTTTCTCTGGACGCTTTTAAACGTGATAGAAGCTTTTCATAGGTAAAGCCTTTCACATTCAAACAACCCTCTGTCGGGGGTGGGGGTGGGGTTGAATTATTAATAATAATAATCTGCATTGGATATAGCGCCTGTAAGTCTGAAAGAAATGTAGTTGTGCGTAGTGACTATATCTGAGGGCGGCAGTTGAATGATGCACATAGCAATATTCTACAAACAGCCAACGAATGAATAAATTATATTTCTGGCGATTTGCTGGTTAGGACATTGGAGAAAACTCCCTTCTCTATTCCGATGCAGCCAACGCACACTCTGGGGTTCCTATTTCGTAAGCACGGTGATGGTTTTCCGCACGTGTCTGACAACTTGCTGACCCCTCCCCCCAAAAAAACATTCTATTGGAGCGCAAGCCCAGACTATGTCCTGACACAACCTTCTAACGCAGATGCGAGAGTGCTGCCAATGAGCGAGGCTGGAGTTTATCTGCAAGGTCTCAGAGAGCTGAAATTCTTGTTGTCGCTGATTTAAATAGGACACCTTCAATATCTAGCATTCAAGTGGAAGCATTACTCACCCAATGACAAAACAGGACACGGCGGTTCCTATGAAAGCGTACGTTAGGATAGAGCCGAGGTTCCTGAAGAAATGCCTCTGTAATCACAAAGTGAAAGATTATTCCCAATTGTCTGGGAGCTCTGCCAAAGTCAAGCGCTCCGAGATGCTGCCCCACGCAAACGACACTGTTGTTTTCAAGGCAAGTTGTTGTTTGCAACAGCCATGTGTTCAGTCTGGTTCAGTCCGGCCTCATTGACTTTGAACACAAGATCCAAATTGATCTTCCAATATAGTGCTGGGGGGAGCACTGCAAAGTTAGAGGTGCTGTCCATTCTTGAGACGGTTCTATCACCCTTATATGTACACCCACAATATGGCTCGCTCTCCCTTAGAGTGTACTGGATGGCCTCTGTGTTCAATCCTCACTTATGAATGCAAGTTCCTCTAACTGGGTGTAACTTGACTAACGAGTTCTTCCACAGGTACCACCAATTGCCATTTAAATTAAAGCGAATTGGGAAGCTTCAGTCAATCAGAGGTTTATCTGACACCTCTGTTACATCATTTGTATATTGGGATGGGAAGTTACTGCCAAATTGTTGCAATCGACGGTGGAGTAACCATAAGGATCAAAAACGTTAAATACGCAAAAAAAATGTACTTAAAAGCGCTACTCAATATATTTAAACAACAGACAAACATAGACAAAATGGGTGACCTTGACATATCCCCCTCTTAATAATGAAAATGCTTCAAAAGGCAAGATTGTTATCAAAGTTCTTGGAGATAGGTCAGGATAAAAGCATCTCTCGCTCTCCTCCTTCGCTATCTTCCTACTTCTACTTCCGTCCGGCGTGGAGGGCACTATATAAGTCCAAGTTGTTGTTGTTGCACTTGAGGTAGCTGATCTTCCTGTGATACAGGTCTAGCTCCCTGGCGGGTCACGATAAACGAAGATCTCACACAGTAATGTGCTCTTTTCACACTACATCATACTTATATATCTTAACTATGTTAAAAATATACAACTGAGGAGAATCGAAACTTTAACTGGCGTACTCACAGGAAAATCACAAGATTTCCCTTGTAAAATCCCTTTGTACCACCACCTCGCTGGAAATTCGTGCAACGCTTATACAAAACATTTTGCTGGTTAGCACACCCCAGTGCTAACGTGAGGATAAATTCAGGAGTGCTCCTTGTTCCGTCCTGCCTTCATCTTCACCACAAGGCGAACGGGGTTGAGGTGATTGCCACGCTTTCCCCTGTGTGGACTTTGTGCAAGTTTCTGTACTCGTTTCACTTGACTTGTTGAAACAGTGATGTACTTCCCGCTTGATGTCAGTATCTTAATAGTCTTTGGGTTAATGACCTTCATCACCTTGCTCAGTTATAGAGTCCCTCCAACATAGCGAGTCTTCCAAGCAACAAAATCTCCCTCTGCATAATCACACTTATTATCCACGGAATGACTTGCGTTATAATCAGTAATCATACGGTCTAAAGCTTCATGGAATTCTTCCAGATGATCCTTGGAGTTTGTGTGATTGAGGTGATCACATAGCTCCCACGAAACAGGTAAAACAGAGTCAACCCGGGTCTATTGCTGAGGGGTTGGTTATTCACTCCCATCAGCAACCAGGGAGTCCTGTGGTCCCATCTGGAGCCTTTTTTTACCCAGGCTTTCTCCAAAGCGCTCGTAATAACACCATTGATTCTTTCCACTTTACCAGAGCTTTCTGGGTGATGTGGTACATGGAAGTTGTGCTTAATTCCTAAATTTAGAGTGACGAATTTGATGATCTCAGCAGTGAAATGACTGCTTCTATCGGATTCTAATATTTTCATTACACCATTACGAGGTATCAGCTCCTCAGTTATTATCTTCCACACGGTTTTTGCAGAACACCTTTTGCAAGGGTTCGCAAAGGTAAAACCAGTCGTGTGATTTGACGAAAATGAGGATGTACCAATCCATTCTGGCACTTTTAGGCAAGTGTCCAACAAAGTCTAAATAGACCCTTTCCCATGGTCTTCCCATTTCTACCCTTTCCAATTTTTTGGATTGACCTGGACACACCTCATGCATTCTCCCCAGAACTTTTTACCTCCCTCTTAACCTCGGGCCACCAGTATTCACGTGGGTTGGCCTAGGTTCCCTTTATCCCGTTATGCAAACTTCCAGGTCCTTCATGTGCCATGGTGATCAGATAATCCCGTACCAGTTTTGGTGGGATCAATTGGTTCTTGCTTCCCTGTTGCCAGTACAGCTGTGAGCCCTTTACCACCAAATGTTTCCCTTTTGTCCAATTTGGAAGGCTTCCATTCTGTCCTGCCACCGGGTTTGTCGCTATCGTTGATAGTACAGGGTCGTTAGTATAACTGGTGTTAATAACACCCGTGATCAATACTTGTGTTACTGGCATCGGCTCATTTAAAAAACAAGCTGAGCGTGATCGACGCAATCATGCAAAGCCTTTGCTATTTGCAAAAGGACATTTTAATCTTCACACAGACTGGGAGAAGCAGGACACCTCAGGTAGTAAAGGCAACACATTTCTAGAGTGTATTCAGGACAGTTTTTTTGGAACAATATGTTTTAGAACCAACAAGGGAACAAGCCATACTGGATTTGGTGATGAGTAATGAGCCAGAACTAGTTAATAATCTGACATCAGGGGAACATCTCGCAAATAGTGATCATAATATGACTGAATTTGACATTAGATTTGAGAGGGAGAAAGAAGGGAGAGTCCCAAACCAAGGTCTTAAATTTAAGTAAGGCAAACTTTGATGGGATGAGTAATAAATTGACTGCAGTAAACTGTGCTGAACTGTTAGTGGATAAACCTACGGATGAATAATGAGAAGTATTCAAAAAGTATTTGACACATGCAAAAGCTCCAATCGTGTAGTTAAGTGTGTGGTGGACAAACGAGGTTAGAGACCGTATCAAACTAAAAGCAAAGGCTTACTCAAATGCAAGAAAAAGTGGGAATACAGAGGATTGTGAGAACTACAAAAGGCAACAAAGGGTCACAAAGAAAGTAATAAGAGGAGCAAAAAGGGAGTATGAAAGAAAACTTGCAAGGGATATTAAAACCAATAGTAAAAGCTTTTATAAGTATATTAAGAGAAAGAGAATGGTCAAGGGGAATGTGGGTCTGTTAAAGACTGATGCAGGTGAGACTAAAACGGAAAATAAGAAAATGGCTGATTTTCAGTAGAGGATGAGCTGTACAGGGGAATCTACAAATAAGTCAAAGAGAAATGCTTAATATAAATTAAAAAAGGTAATGGAGAAAATAATGAGACTCAAGGTAGACAAATCTCCAGGACCTGATAGTTTCCACCTAAGGGTGTTAAAGGAAAGAGCAGAGGAAGAGTAAACACTGAGGATGACATTAAAAAAAATGCAACGAGATACAGATAGGCGAGGTGAGTGGACAAATAGGTGGCAGATGAAGCTATGAGGATAGGTTGAGCAATTTAGGCCCATATTCTCTCGAATATAGAAGAATGAGAGGTGATCTTATAAAAACCTATAAGATTATTAAGGGGTGTGACAGAATAGATAGTGGAAGACTTTTTCCCCTGGTTGGAGAAACTATAACCAGGGGTCACAGTCTTAAAATTAGGGGTAAGCCCTTTCGCACTGAGTTGAGGAAAAACTTCTTCACGCAGAGGGTAGTGAATTTATGGAATTCTCTGCCCCAAAGGGCTGTAGATGCTCAGTCCTTGAACATATTCAAGACTGAGATTGATATCTTTTCTTGTGGATAAAGGGATTAAAGGGATATGGGGATAAGGCAGGTAGGTGGAGTTAGAATAGATCAGCCATGATCTGATTGAATGGCGGGGCAGGTTAGAGGGGCCCAATGGTCTACTCCTGCTCCTAATTCTTATGTTCTTATGAAATAGGAGAGGAAATTGGAGGTGCATTCGTCATAATTTTCCAAAGCTCACTAGATTTGGGAATTGTGCCCTTAGATTGGAAAATTGTGAATGTCACCCTTTTATTGAAGAAGGGAGGGAGGGAGAAACCAGGAAACTACAGACCTGTCAGCTTAACGTCAATCATAGGGAAAATACTGGAATCCATCATCAGAGACAGAGTGACTGAACACTTGGACAGGTATGAGCTCGTCAAAGAGAGTCAGCGTGGGTTTGTGAAGGGGAGGTGGTGTCTGACTAATCTCGTTGAATTCTTTGAGGAGGTCACTAAAACGGTGGATAAGAGAGTGTCTATGGATGTCGTTTATGTGGACTTTCAGAAGGCATTTGATAAGGTTCCACACAAAAGTTATTAGCGTAAATGGAAGCGCATGGAGTAGGAGGTAACCTTGTGACGTGGCTTGGAAATTGGTTGGAAGGCAGGAAACAGAGTAGGGATAAAGGGAACCTTCTCTGTTTGGCGGGACATGGCAAGTGGTGTCCCTCAGGGGCTGTACATATACACTGCCTTTTGCATTTTGGCTGCAAGCTGGTCTGAATTTTTAACTCTCTCGACCCCTCCCAATTTAATAAGCCTCTGATAAAGAGGTCTCACCAAGATTAATGAGGATCATAGTCCCGAGCATAATTGCACCATCCTGACAAACCTGTGGGTGTTTTTATTTTACGAATTTTCTCCGGGTATCCCTCGGAGCGCCCCACTCCATCATCTGACACAATATGCCCTCGGAAATCCACTCGGAATCTTCCTATTTGACTTTTAAGTAAATTGATTTTAAAGCCTGCAGTGGTCAGCACCCGCAACACTCGCTTTAATTTTTCCATATGCTCAACATCGTCCGCTCAGAATATATCATCGACGTAACTGGTTACCCCTGGTATCCCTATCGCTGTTTGTTGAGTTCACTCATTGAAAAAGCCAGGAATATTCACCCAGCCCTGCGGCAATCAATTCCACAAATATTGTTGTCCTCTAAAAGTAAAGGCAGTTTTCCAGCGGTCTCCCTTAACGAGAGGCACACTCCAAAATCCATTAGCAAGATCTAATGTTGTTTTGTATTTGCCTCTCGGCAAATTATTCAAATCCCCACTTAAGTGGGTGCTTTGTCCGGTGGCTTTTACAGTTGCATTATTAAGCTTCGAAGGTCAACAGCCATCAGATTTCCTAACTGGCAGAAGCGGTGAATTATTTTCCGATTCACATCTAGAAATAGTTTCCCACTTTTCCAGTTCATTAATTATTTTTTTTAAAATCAGAAGCACTGTCGTTAGGCAGAGTGTACTGTCTCAGGGGTTTGTGCTCTTCTCCGCGGATTTCCATCTCTCTCTTAATTAAACCACAATCGAGTGCGTGATCTGCCAAACTGAGACACTGGAGCTGCTTCTGCTCTGTGGCATTCGCATCAACTTTAAGGCTAAAAACCTTTAAAGTTTGACGATCTGCCTTGTGCAGGAAATCACACCCCAGTACTACAGATTCAACACACTCTCTTGTGCTACCTATTACAGACGCTGGAGATGCAACCGAAAAGTGTCCCAAAAATGTATAAACGGTAAACATGTGAGCGTTCGGTGCACATCGGGGGACCTTCCGAAAGCGGCAAGCACCCTTTATCAGGGTGTGTGCGGGCGCGCAATGGATGTACACGGGGGCGACTCCAGACTGTGTTAAAGGGAGCTTCCCCAAAAAACGTGCGCACAACCTGTGCGCGGGGAAGGAAGGTACCGTAAACAACGAATGCTTTCGTATCGGGAGAAAAAGGAAAAATTGTAACAGAGGATGTTGTGTTTGTTTGGGGTTTCTGTTGTCCTAAGTATTGTATTTATAAATAAGTTCACTTCCAATCCATCATTTGTATATTGAGATGGTAAGTTCCCGCCAAATTGTTGGAATTGATGCTAGAATCAAATCTGATGGCACCATAACTATCAAAAACATTAAATGCATTAAAAAAATGTATTTAAAGTGCTATTCAATATATTTAAACAGACAGACAGGCATAGAAAAACAAAAGGGGTGACTGTTGACAAACATGTGGTCGAATACGGCAGTCAACTGCGCACAACAATGTCCCCAAAACAGCCATAAATTGAATGACCGATATTATTTGGGGTTTGTCGGCCAGGATAGTGCCACGGTATAGAGCCATAGGATCCTTAAAGTTCTGTGTCGCTTCGTGTCGTTCGTTTCGTTCGTTTGTTTCCTTCCTTCTTTCGTTGTTTCCTTCTTTCCTTCAAAAATAAATGTAGTCACTCAATCCACGGCTGTTCGTGGGACACTGCTGTGCGCAATTGGCTGTCCCAGCACTGTATTGGAGTGTCAACCTAGAAAATGTGGATCAGCACCATGGGCTACAACCCACAACCTTCTGACCTCAAATACTATCTGACAACGACATTCGGACATAGTCACCGCGTTTGCTTTGAGTGAATTACCCCACCCCCTCCCACAAGGAGCCATTACCTTCTTGAGACTGTATCCAGCGTGGAAAATGATTGGTGGCAACAAGATGTTGAAGAAGACATCTGGGTCAAAGGTCACCTGCCAAGGAAGCACGTGGGCCATGAGTCAAAGCTGTGGTTAGCAGCACAGGAATAGATCAGAGCAACATTGCCAATAACCTACAACAACAACTTGCACTTATATAACGCCCTTCACACAGGGTAGGGTCCCGGAGCCAGCCGGGCGGAGGCAGCGGGTGGTGGAGTAAACAAATCAGAGAGGTAGGAAGGTGCGAGGGTATGAAAGGATTTGAAAACGAGAGAGAGGGTCTTGAAATCGATCCATTCGGCAACTGGGAGCCGGTGGAGCCCGGCAAGGAATGGTGAGGTGGAACTCCATTAAGATTGGTGGAACCAGGGTTGCTGTGGTAAACCTCAGGGTTCAGTAACTCATTTATGCAGCAATGTGAGCCGAAGTGTTCATCTCAACCCCACGCTCCTTCATCCCATCATCGCTATGTCCCACCCAACTCATCCCACGTCCCCATTCCCATCTCACCCCAATTTGCCACAGCAATATCCCACCAACAGCCATGAAATGAGTGACCAATTTGATCTGGAGAATTTTGACCAGGACACCATGGGAAACTCCCTTCTCTTTTCGAGTGTTGCTGTGGGATCCGGTGGGGCCTCAATTTAATGACTCATTCGAAGGACCGCACTGAAGGCAATGTTGTGCTCCCCCAACACTGTACTGGAGCGTGAGCCAAGACTGTGAGCTCAAAGTCCCGACGTTGGGTTTGAATCCACACGTTTTGGATTCAGGATCAAGACTGCTACCAACTGAGGTGGGTGACATCCTGCGAGAGGCACTTTAAAGACCTCCTCCCAACGGAAAAGGCAGTGTATCAAAAGCACGGATTATTATCAACCATGATTTCTTCCTTTTCCTCCACTTCACTCTCTTTCCTTCTAAAAGAACACACAAGCTATGGCTCAACAAATGAATATACTTTAGAGGCAAAGAAAACAAAAAAAAACCTGTATTTACTTCTGCATTGCAGGGAATTTACAGGGATTTTCCAACATAAAAGTACCTGTCAAAACAGGGCAGGCATTGCATTAAAAACTAATCCCCTGCTAATCCCCTCTTGACTCTGCCACATCCTCAATTCTGCCCCCCATCAAGTCCCTTTCGAGAAACGACAGAATTAAAACAAGCTGTCAAGTTTTGGAAGCACTGAAATGCTATACAGGTGGATTTATATCTCATTTCTCCCCATTTGTTGTCATTTACACTGTCCACCACTCTCTGTAAGCTCTGCTTTAGGTGTCAGCCGGGCTCAGCTGGAAGCTCTCTCACCTTAAGTCAGACCCACCTTAATTTGAGCTCATAGTCCAGGCTGACACTGGGGAGCGCTGCATTAGCAAGAGGTGCCATCCTTTGGATGACAGTTCAACCAACACTCCGTCTGTCTGTTAAACTGTCAAATTGGACGTGCAAATCAATCCCGGGCACTGGTTCAAAAGAGTAGGGAGTTTCTCCCGGTGTCCTGGCCAATAATTCCCCTGCTCCCCCCCCCCCCCCCCTCCCTGCCACAGATGAAACCGCTCGTTCACTTCACGGCTGTTTGTGGTACGTTGCTGTACAGAGTGGCTGCCGCGTTCGCCTGCAAAATAGCAAACCCCACGAAGCTGTTTGAGACATTCATCCCGACAACACAACGATAATAATCCTTGCATTTGATATAGCGCCTTATCGCAACATTGAGACGTCTCAAAGCGCTTCGCAGAACATTGTAAAGTGGATTGACTGTGTATTTTGTGGGCAAAACAGCAGCTAATTGCACACAGCGGTGTCCCACAAACAGTCGTGAATTGAGTGACCATTTTTTTTTTGGGTGGTGGAGGGGATTATTATCCTCGGAAAGCGATCAACCAATCAACAAACAGTCGGATTTCTACTTACTGCTAGATAAACAGAACATGGGAACAGGATTAGGCCATTCAGCCCCTCAAGCCTGGTCCTCCATTCTGTAAGATCATGGCTGATCTGTACCTCAACTCCGGGAATCAACTCCGCTACGGGAATTAAGCGCTCGGCATCAAATGCAACGATGGTTATTATTATTAATAATTATTATATATTGTTTATTAAGTATTACTATTTATGGTATTATTTATATTATTTATTTACGTTATTATTATTTATATTATTTATATTGTTATTCTCAGTGACACGTCTCTTCTCTGAGCTCAGATTGTGTAGAAGGGAAAGGAAAATGAGACTCACCTTCCTCAGCATGTCGTCCTGCTCTACGTTGTTGATTTCCCTGGAGTTGATCTCCCCTTTCAATGAGTATTCATAGAATTTGCCACTGACTTTAACCAGGAGGGTGTTGACTGCCCGATTCTGCAGAGTGCAGCCTTGGGGCACCTTGGCCTGGCTGTTACTGGAGGGGATGCCATACCTGAGGATCACACCCACCAGAAGACCTGAGAACCAACCAACAAACAAAGTTATAATAATAATCCTTGCATTTGATACAGCAGCTTATCACATCGTTGAGACAATAACAACTTGCATTTACGTAGCGTAGGGTCCTGGAGCGCTTAAGACATCTCAAAGTGCTTCACAGGATATACTGTAAAGCGGATTGACTGTATTTTTTGTGAGCAAAAGGCCCACATGATATATATATCATGCTTTGTAACATCCTCCCGATGTGGAAGGCGATATAAATCTGTACCCTCAGGTGTGGCAGTAAGTGGGACTTTGCTGTTTGCAAATCGGCTGCCGTGTTTGCCTCCAGTAATTACTGTGGAGCACTTTGATTAAACACAGTGGGTAACATTGAAAGCTCTCACAGCGCTTCACAAGTTTTTTTTTCGCAGTCGGCTAGGTGTCTGACGCATGTAGAAACCCATCACTGTTGGCTGAAGAGTTTGCGATCCAGACTGCGTGTGAATCCCACCTCCACGTGGAAATTTCCGCGTGTTTGGAATGGAATACACACGCTCTCTCCCTGGAGGGACGCACCCTGCTTACCTAATGCCAGAGAATATCAGGCACAGGTTGGTAAATACCAAATTTGGGGACTTTTGAGTGCAAACTTGGATATTGCTAGAGTCTAACCAATTAAAACCACATAGCTTGCCATTGAGAGCCCTGTCTGACAAACTACCTGCTGGTTGTCCAGCTAGGATTACACTACACGGTAGGGTTTTGACTCTCCGGGTTAACGGGAGCTGAGTGGGAACAAACCCAGTGATGGGTTTCCGCATGTGTTTGCCTCTCCAAGTCCTGGTGATGAGCTAAACTGGTTGATCTGTCCTTAGCAATGCCCTGGAGTACAACAGACACGGCTGGCTCAGGAACCAGACGACCAAGACCACCTCATAGAGGATTGATTGAATTCTCTTGCCAAGTAGGTCAGCTCCAAGGAGACACCGCTTACCTCCCCTTCCTCCCCACTCCCCCAACTTCACAGGTAGCTGCTGTCAGCGGTATGTACCTGCCTTCATAAGGAGTATCACAGATTCTTCACCATCCACCTGAACAGCAAACACTACCGGTTTATTGTCTCATCTGAAAGACGCCACCTCTGACATGCAGTGCTCGGGGGGGGGGGGGGGGATTGTGAGTTCAAAGGACCAACATGGGTCTTGAAGCAGCAATATTCTGACCCGGAAGTGAGAGCGCTGCCAACTCAGCCAGGCTGAGCCGACTTAGTATTCTCACTTCCTCAGTCACCATTTTGAGCACAGACTGGTACTTCCACTTCCTCACGCCCAAAACCCCCAGCGACCCACAACTTGCTAAATACACGGTATGTTATAGGCACAAAATCGTCAGGAAGTCGCCGCTGGAACCAAACCTTGGTTTATTTAGACCTACAGTGGTAAAAATGGCCAATTCCCAGATCACCCCTGACATCGCTTCCTGTTAACATGGTGTAAGTTCTACTAATTAATTTGCAAAGGAAATTATGTCAGCGGCGCATCTTGTCCCTACTGTGCATCTGACATCATCCTCGACCTGATGACCAGGAAGTTGGCCATTTTGTCACCCTCAGGGAAGAGCCATCACCTTGCTTGACGGGTAGCTAAATCAGGTTAAGAGTTCCCACCTCCGCGGGAGGTTTCCCTTTGTCCTCTTCACGTAAAAACAAACAAGGACGTTCCCTTTCATTTTCTTCCTGTACCCCATCATCCCCAAATGTGCTCTTCAGGATTTACAGTTTACGGTCAAGTGTAGTGACTGGTTTTGTAAATCACCTTTGAGCAGCCATTTTGGAACATCAAGGTCCCTCATTCAGCTCCCTCAGCCCCTTTTACACAACAATTTGCATTTATATAGCGCCCCTTCATGCCGGACGGTGTCTCGGAGCGCTTTTAAGAGTTTCGAGTCTCTACCCCGGGTGAAGGATGCTGTATAAATGCAAGTTGTTGTTGTCGGTCAAAGTCTGTCTCAAGACCTAGCCCTTTCACCCCACTTTTGGCCATCTTTCCCCTCCCTGCCGCCCTCTGCTCCACCCCCAACTTGGGTGGGTGGTGAGCAATTATTGCTAAGCTCCTTGGGATGTCTTCCTGTTGTGAAAGGCGCTATTTAATGTATTGTATTGTCCTGCAAACAGGCTTGAGTGAACAGCCAAAGAAATGATCTCTTCCTATTACAATTTTTTTCTGGAAACCTTGGGTCAAAGCCACCTTGTCGCGTATGTGAGGGAGAAGAGAATCGAGGGTTGCAGGTCAGGAGAATAGAAGGAGTATGGAATATGAACACCAGCATGGGCTGGGGCTAAAACACCTCATCACCCAATCCTCACTGCTTTCTTGTCTCTGTGGATCAACTTTAAGGTCCTCACCCTCACCTTTAAATCGCGCCCAATCTCCTTCTGCCGCACTCCTCTGCTCGTTCACTCCACTCAACTAACACAGGCTCACTGTGCGTCACACGCCCTCTCCTAAGTGAGTACCAATGCCGGGCGGAATAGCCTCACCATCATAGGAACAGGAGTAGGCCATTCGGTCCCTCGAGCCTGTTCCGCCATTCTATTAGATCATGGCTGATCTGTTACCTCAACTCCATGGACCCGCCTTTGCTCCATATCCCTTGATACCCTGACCTAAAAAAATATATCCACCTCAGTCTTGAACATTCAACTGATCCAACATCCACAGCCTTTTGGGAGAAGAGAGTACCAAATGTCGTTGCTGGCCTTCACAGGCCAAGGATATTGACTTTGACTCAGATTGTTTCAATCCTATGAGCAGAAAATATCTTATCGCTATCTTCTGCTCACGAGATTGAAACAATTACAATGTGGGTGAAGGCCGGTACTGGCATTGTAATCACACTTCGTCAAAAGTTCCAGCTCACTAGACTGGATCTCCCACCCCACACCCCAATAGCTCAGCTAGCCAGGGTTTAATCGTAATGTCACGGTAACTTTACAGTGGAGGCATCGACTAACCAGTGCATTGGTTAGAGCACTCGCCTCGCAAGCGAGAGGATCCGGGTTCGATTCCCGGGCCGGGCGAAACCTTAGGCAAGTTTCCTTATTCCACACGCCTCTGTTTACCTAGCAGTACGTAGGAACCCTCTTGTTAGTCGATTGTCAGATCCCTTTTCTAGGGGTAATAATCCCTTCAAAAACAAATAAATAATAATAATTTGGTCATTCAATTCACGACTGTCTGTGGGACGCTGCTGTGCGCAATTGCCTGCCACGTTTCGCCCACAAAATATACCGTCAATTCACTTTACAGCACTTTGGGACGTCCTCCCGACGTGAAAGGCCCTCTATAAATGTAATGTTGTTGTTGTTACAGTACATTCTAGGAAGAGCTTTAAAACGTCTCAAAGACGTGATAAGGTGCTATATCGAAAGGATTATTATTATTATCTTTAACATCCACCTAAACGTCAGGACTTTTAACGTCTCCTGCGAAGGACGATGTCTTAAATGTTACTCGTTGTGGTCGGGTTCAATACCCCATTTGCAGAGAAAGCATTTCATCTTCTGTTAATCCTGTCCATGAAAAAAAAAATGTTCCATCTTTTTCCAGGCAAAATCCTGACCTTATGTCCCCTGGTTATGATTCACCAAGAAATAGTAATAATCCTTCACTAATCTGTAAAACCAACCCCCACCTTCCCAGGAGAGATTAGTCAAGTCAGCACAGGCCAGGAGATAAACCTGGAACACAACGTTCTGTGTCTGCCATTACTAATAACACTTGCATTTAGTAGTGCGTCTAAAACGTCAACACGTCTCGAGGCACCCCTCAGAGAATTGCTGTCAAGTGTAGTGACTGTATATTTGGAACGCAGCTAATTGCACACAGCAATGTCTCACCATTAGCCATAATAAAACGATAATGATCATCATCCTCATTTGATATAGCACAAAGATAACCTATAAATGTCAAAACATCTCAAAAGCACTTTACAGTAATTGCGGGGACTATGGATCTATACGGGCTTTGGGACATCCTCCCGGCATTTAAGGCTCTATATAAATGTAAATTAATTGTATTGTATTTGTGTGTCGGTCTGGTTGAGTTTGTAGCACTGTTGCCTCTGAATCAGATAGTCTAAGCTGACTCTCCAAGATAGTGTTGGGGTGGTGTTGAGTTGTCAGACATGCAGTCCATCAGATGAGATGTTAAACTGAGCTCTGTGTGTTCAGGTGGATGTTAAAGATCCCATGGCACTATTCAGAAAAAGAAAGGACACTGCTATATGCAAATCGGCTGCGCACAAAACATAGTTACTCCACTTGACAGTGTGTGCTGCAAAGCACTTTGGAGCATCCTCCTGACATGAAAGGTGTTGTACTAAATTTAAGGATCATTTATAATTAATATTTGCAGTTGAATGTTACAGCCAATTTGCACACAGTGATGTCTCACAAACAGCCACCACAATTGACACTGCGAGAAAATTCCTCCCTTCTCTATTCCAATATGCAATGGGATCTCTAATATCCTAAAAAGATAGACAGGACCTTGGTTTAAAATCTCCTACGAAGGACGGAACCTCCGACATGTGGCACCTCTTCATTTCTTATTTCGGTCCATTTCACCATCGCCCAAGCCTTCAGCTACTCCACCCTGCTCTCAGGAACTCTTCCCCAAATTCCCTTTACTCTTTGTCTTTTCTCTCTCTTTCCTCCATCTCCCCTTCAAAACCCGTTAAAAACGTAATTCTTTGAATGTGCCTTTGGTATGCCCGTCAGCCCACACCTCACCAAGCTCCACTGTCTCCCAGACTCCTAATGGATCAAATTCAAGGTCCTCACTTATTATAAACATATCCCTTACTATAAATTTCACCCACAATATACACAGTCAATTCACTGAGACGTCTCAATGAGGTGATAAGGCTCTATATCAAATTATTATCCCTTCACGCCCTGGTACTGCTCAATCTCTGTGACCTTCTCTGAACCAACTCTTCTGCTCAGCCACTCTGTTTGGCTAAATTAGGC